GATGTTGAGCGTTACAGCAAGTGCCCTTACTCACCAAGCCACCTTGCTAGGCCCCTTCTAATGACTGTTTCTTAAACATTTTACAATTTCAAATGAATACAATTTAATTAAGCAAAATCATTGGATTTTTAGAAAACAGACTATCATCACTAATTACCATATGAGTCTGCATTATTTTATATAAACATTTAACTAATTATTTCAAAATAACATTTAACCCTTTATAACTGTCTGCCAATTTTTTTCTATAAAAGGCCAGGTGATAAAATTTCCAACTTTCTGTGCTGTCTTCTTTCCCATTTTGTATTTACTGTTCCCTTGCTTTGAACAGATTATATATTCTATTTTATTTCATTATATAAAGTCACTTTGGGTTTTAAACTTTAGAAAAGGCACTTCATCTTCATTGCTGTATAGTCTTCTATTGCGTGCATGTCTCACTATTCATCAGTCCTCCTACAGAAGACCTTTTTTTGGTCTGAGTTAACAAAAAGGAAAGGTGAATTATCCAATTAAGTAAAAGACATTCTAAGATGTGCAAATTGCATAGGTTGTGAAGATCTGGAGGACCAAGGAGAACGCAGAGACTATAAAGGGCACTGGTCGTAGTTGGGAACTTCTCAGCTCCTCGAAAAGGTTGGTATCATTGTAAAGAATTGTAAATCATTGTAAAGAACCCCAACCATGTCTGCAGAGATATTTTAAAGAAGACTTAACATGATCAGCTATTTCTCTGCAAAGATTCTGGCTTCGCATAGGAGGACAGGTTGGAGGGTGACACCACAAAAAGACTGTTCCAATAGAGACTATGGTGATGAACACTATCAGAAAGTAGGAGCAGGAAGGCAGTAAGTGGCTTGAGGGGCAGGGAAAAAAATACAGTGTCTCGTGAATGGACAGGATGCCATGCAAGAACAAGGGTTACCCTGGAATCTCTCTTAATGAGCATATTTTTATTTTGTTTTGTTTTGTTGGCAAGGACTAGCTACCTTAAGCTCCTCTAACATGGAAGATGGAGGAACTTGGTTTACAAGCTCAGGTGTTTGCTGCTGACAGCTCATTATGTGACAGCCAAACTGTGGTCTCTGCAGGCTTAAGCTGCTCCCCAGCCCTCAGCCCTTTATTCCCCCAAAACTAAAGAGGCTCTGCAGAGCCTCACATCCCAAATAGTTTCTCCCCACCCTCTTCTGCTATCTGCCTGTGTAGGCAAAGCATAGCGTTCTCAAGATTTCAGAAACATGGAGGAACAAACTAAATTTACATGACATGAGCAATTTAAACAGAAGAAAAAACTGAGCAACTTGGAGCAACTTTCTGAGCTGAGTGGCTTGCAAAACTTTACAGGCATACCATACAGATCTATGAGAGATAAAATATTTACACAAATCCTCAAGGATCATGTTCACACATTATTCTAATTTTTACGATGAAATCTATAGATAACAGTGAGTACTAAGCCAATGAGTTCCCGCTAAAGAATATCTAAAATCTTGCAAGCTTGCTAGCTGAAAGAATCCAGAGCCCAGCACTGCACAGTGCTATATGTAAGTATAAGAGAGCTTTAAAGTCTCTATCTAGAGAAGGAGTCACCCTCAAGGGAACTGAAATAAAGATGGTTTTGACTCACTAGATACAGAGCACCAGACAGAGAAAGCACAGTCAGATCTCTGTGTGTTTTGTAAGCATCAAACACCATGGTGAATGAGGCTAACTCCAAAATAAAAGCTAAATGGCTGTGATACACCCTTGAAGGTTCATCATTATATCATGTGATCTCAACGCAGGGCCTGCAGAACAGAAACATTGAAACTTTTTAAATGTTTCACCTGTTTTTGGAAGTGGGTAACTGATATTAAACAAATCCTCCAGAAATGAGAAGATAGGACCTGTGATGTTCACAGCAAAGTCTACATTTCCATTTGCAATGTCGTCTTTCCGGGCCCAGACTCGTATCTAAATTAGAAAAATTTAAACAATAATTAGGTAGAGCAATATTGAGCTTCAAAACTTGCCCATTTCAACTCCCTGCTACTGTGGAAGAAGCTATAGGCCTGTGGTGGCTTGGAAATGGTCCCCCACAGTCTCATATATTTGAATACTTGGTCCCAGTTGGTAGAACTGTTTAGGAAGGATTAGAAGGTGTGCCTTGTTGAGAAGGTGTGTCACTGTGGGATGGACTTTGATGCTTCAACAGATTTGTGACATTCCCAGTGTTCTCTCTCTGCTTCCTGCTAATGGATCAAGATGTGAATTTCCCACTGTTCTATTGGTTATGGTGTTTTGTCACAGAAAAAAAAACAATTAAAAGAACACTTATAATATTTAAGCTCAAATAGGTGCTGAGAAAATCCCAGAAGGCACAGCACTAACAGTAATACCCCAGAGGTATATCATATTAACTTTTACTTTGAAAAATCTACAATTACTGGTCAGACCAGAAACTACATGAAAAATAATGAAAATAAGCCCCTATCCATCACCCTTCACAAAACTCAATTCCAAATGGATCAAGGATATCAACATAATTCCAGACATCATGACTCCGATTGAAAAGAAAGTAAATAATAGGCTTGAACTTATTGGCACAGGAAGAGATTTCTGAACAGAACACTGACAGCATAGTCAATAATAGTCCTAGCATAGTCATAATCAATAAATATAATCTCATGAAGCTCAAAAGCTTCTGATTTTAAAAGGACATAATCATTCCTTTTTGAGCAAAGCAGCAGCCTACACAATAAGCAAAATATTTTCCAATTATACATCTAACAGAGTTAGCATCTAAAATATACAAAGAACTCAGAAAACTGAACATCGAGAAAACAAATAACCCACTTTTAAAATGGGGTATAGAAAAAGAGAGTTCTCAAAATATGAAGCACAAATGGCTGAGAAATATTTTTCTAAATCTTTAATATCCTTAGCCCCAGGAAATTCCAATTAAAACTACTTTGAGATTTCATCTTACCCAGTCAGAATGAGCAAGATCAGTAAGACAAACGACAGCACATGATGATGAGGATGTGGAGAAAGGGGAATACTTCACTGCTGGTTGCTGTGAAACTTGTACAATCGTTATGGAAATCAGTGTAAAGTTTCCTCAAAAAGACAAAAATAGACCTACACGATCCAGCTATACCATTCTTGAGAATATCCTGAAAGAACTCTATATGTTACTTCACAGGAAACTTGCTTATACATATTCTTAAAGTCAGAAGCTTGAAATAACATATGTAACTATAGACTGATGAATAGATAATGAAAATGTAACACATTTACAAAATGAAGCATTGTTCAACTGTTAAGAAAAATTAAATTATGAAATTTGGAGGTGAATGTGTAGAACTGGAGTCAACCATCCTAAGTAAGGTCACTCAGACCCCAAAAGACAAACACTGCCTGTTTTTTCTTATATGTGGGTGTTAGCTTTTAAGATCTAGATACATATTTTATTCAGAATATTCAGAGATTAGGTAGCTAGTAAGGGACCAGGGAGTGGGAGGGGGAATCTTCCAAAGAAGAGGAAATAGAATATAGTGTTATAAACAGTCAAAGAAGAAACTCAACTAGGAAGATTAAATGGAAAGGGTGATGAGAGAACAGGGTGAAGGAGAGATATGGGCAGGGCATATGCTATGCTCATAGCAAAGGCCTTTTGAAAGGCCACCATGAATGGGCTACATCTCTTTGAGTTGTTAGTCAATGTGGGTCCTATAGATTACCCTCAAACATTACATCCTATTGCCAATTATATTGGTTACCCTCCACAACCTGACGGTTAGACTTTATTGCTCAAGGTAACATATATTTAAATCATTGAACATAAAGAACTTGAGCTAACGCTCAACAAGGAGTTTCACCCCTATTGATGAAAGTCCATAGTTCTGGAAGTTACTATACAGACTAGACTATCAGAGGAGAAAAGTAATCATCAAACTCACCCAATTATGAACCCAGTGAGTTACAATAATACAATAGTGGCACAAATGTTATGGAAGCAACTACCCTCTTTTTGGTTGGATTTAGGGTCTGCTCCATGTCAAAACCCCATACCTGACACTAGAACCTGGTACTAGATAAGTCACGGGCCTTATAGGAAAACCTCCTACTATTATTCTACTGAAGGACCATAATAATAAAAAAACTGCTAACACACATTTCTATGCCCATAGATCTATGTCACTGAACTCTTATCAGAGAAGCAGATGGTAATTAACCCAAAGACATACAACTGGATAACACGCAGATAGTGAGGACCATGGAGTAATCAGCCCTAAGTGGGATGTCTACATGACACTCCTCTATTGAAGGCTTGGGGATCTATTTGGAAATGCATGAAGAAACACCTATGCAATCACAGAGACTGTGACAGTACACACAAGACCTGCACAAGTTCAAGACAGGCAAATTTCCAGCACAAAGTCCTGCCCCCAATCAAGAAGTTATTTTCAATTGATACCTCCTGGGAGAGGGAAAGACGGTTTTCACAATAGTGAGAGTGGGACTATCAATCACACTCTATGGCGGGTCTCATGCTCAAGAACAGGTGACCAATACAAAAGGGATTCCATGTTTTTATGTGTGCTTTTCTTTTGTTGTGGTTGGTGTTTTTTGCCTTTTGGGGTTTTGTTTTGTTTCATTTCCATGGTTGGTTTGCTTGTTTGAGAGAGACAAAGAACATGAAGCTGGGTGGGTAGAGAGATGGGGAGGATCTGGAAACAGTTGGGAGAGAAGAAAGATAAAAATCAAAATATATTGTATGAAAAAATTAAACAATAAAAGGTAATAAAATAAATCTTTTTAAAAATGTGTAATTCTGTAATTGCAGAATACTCCTTGTAGCTTCCATGTGAAAGAATACCTCAAATCCGTCTTCCCTTTAAAAAACATTCCAATGATCCAAAACAGAATTGTGTTGTTAAGAGTGATGGCATACTGTATAACCAAATTTGAACCTTGAAAATTTAGAATGGTTTAATATTTAAAGAGTTATTAGTCCTACTACTGCATTTTCAAAATTGAAAATCAGATTAAGCCCCAAATTAAGCCCTTGAAAAGTCTTATGATTTTAAGCCTGTCGAATCTAGTGAGTTAATTGCAATGGTGTTCCCATGTTTGCTGGTAAAAGGCATCTCTGCCATTCAATGTCCTTTTCATGTAAACATGCTGGTGTTTGGCACCTGAGTGAATCCCTGCAGCTTTCATGACTACGCTCCTGTTTCAGCCTGCAGGGCTGTAGTGATGCAGAATCACCTTATGCTCTTCAACTTTTTTCTCTGTAAGTAATTTTTAATAGAGTTGAGGATTGGCAGTGCTGATGCCAAGACGACACATGAAAACGAAAGTCCTTAGGACAAATGTTAGAGATATGGGAATTACCAAATGTGTCACATGAGTTTTGTTAACTTAAAAAAATAAAATGCTCTCTGCAAACTATTATCCAAAAAGGGCAAGAAAAAATGAAAGAAAAAGCATAGTACAAGTGCATGCTTTCCAGGAATAGATTTATCTCATTGTGCCTTTATTTCTCTGGAAAGTTTGTCTTGAATTATGTGAATTTTTAGTTATGTGAGGGTTTGGGAATGTTCCTTGCTCACAAAATGCAACCACCTGTTTTTGAGACTCCAGCCTGATTTCCCTCACTGATTTCTTCCTCCCATGTGGTACAGACACCCCATTTAGTTGAGAAAGATAGCTCCAGGCCTTGGATCTGCTTTTCCACTAAATTTATGGCTTCTGAGAACACTAGACTTGGAAAAAACCACTCTACAGGATGGAGATAGTGGATACAATCTGTGTTTTAGCTGTAGTCTTTTTCAAAATAACAGCCTCATCAATGAATACTTGCTCATTAATTTTCAGTTTATGAATCTCCTCCTAAAAAATGACCATTCTGCACTCCCCTAAAGCAAGACAAATAATTGGAATTTCATATAGAATTGGGAGGGTGTGTAGCCCCAAGGAGGAAGCAAGAAACACGGGCCAATAAGGACCATTTTAGATGTAGCTGAAAAGTTCCTTCAAAATCACGCCTGCCCCACCTGTGTGTACTAATAGCCATCACTGGATGTGGCAGATCTAGACATCAGAAAAGATTGTTTTGCAAATATCCAGGCCGCCCAAGTCTTCCACGTTAGCTGTTTCCATCCCTACAATGTGTTCTCTGTTTATACTTTACACAATCACACTCTTACTAAACGGGTAATTCTGGGATAAGCTGGACACTGTTTCAGGCTTGCATTTTGTTTACCTCAAAGAATACATATTAAATTCAATCACTTTGTAGTGCTCAGCCATGGCCAAGCACGGCATTCCACTGATAAACTCAACCCAAGACTCATTTTTTGGCCAACAGCGCTAATTTTCTCTTGTTCCGTTTTGTTTCTATGGCAGCTGCCATTCTTTATAGTAGGATGAACTTTGGGGAAGAAACTGATTTTGTCCTTTCACAAGAATTGCTGATTGAGAAGAGGACCGACCAGAAGCTGTTTGGTGTGGGTGTGAGGGTTCACCCTGGGTCTCTCTCTCGTTAGCTATGGGAAATGAGAGGTCTGCTGCTTCTTGCTAGGCTCAAACCATGCTTCTAAATCATGCCTAAGCAGATTCACTGATCTATGCCACGGATTTCTGACTAGGCCAGTGTTACATATGTGAGTGTCAAGGACCTCCTAGTAATTATTCAGCAAGAGGACCAGGACTGAGAGCCAGCAGCTCAGGAAGATGATAAGAGGCTGCTTGCATCCAATACTGAGTAAGTGATTCATTAGGCTAGGAGGCCTGGAGTAGTTTTTGGCTCGTTCTCACTACCATGATGAGCCTGGCTCACCACCAGCCTTCTTGTCTCCATATGTCAATGCAATGAGCCTGGAAGATCTCAGGCCAGCCAGAGGGATGCTCAGCTAGCTGCACAGCTTGCCCTTTCTCACCCGAGGAAGCCAAGAAAATCAGAAAGAACTTGTGGGTGTAAGGCTTTAGTTACCTCCATTTTCCACAGTAGGGAATAAGCAAGCATGGAAAACACTGTCACAGCAACCATGACACTTTCTGAAAATCGTAGGCTATCATGAGAATGCAACTAGATGAAAACTAAGAATTTCAGGACAAAGCCTCCTCATCCCACTATACATGACTCTAGAGGAGTCTTGTATGCCCAGAGCTACGGGACACCCGCAGGCCTAGCTCCTTAAAAGGAATGACAGCTAACCTGCACACATCCCTCCAGCGACTTATGAGTGTCTTGCTTTTATTGTTCAGTGATGGGGCCATCCTGGTTGCTAAACACTTTGAATCTGATCCAGTAAGCAATGTATCGCCCAGGACTAGCTCAGCCATTGTCTGTTCACTCCTACCCTCTAGGAAAGCAGAAACAGGAAGTGGGTGCTTAGAACCTACCTTGAGGACTGGGCTTAATATACAGTCTACCACAGAAAGAGTTACATAGAGCTATCATGGAAAAGAGTATCTTATCCCTTCCTACCACTCCCTTTTTAAATTTAGTGAAAGGGGAGGAAACAGGATCTTACGATGTGACCCAGGATGGCCTCAAACCCATGATCCTTGATGTCTCAGATGCTGGAATTACAAGTGCATGCTACCATACTCAGCTTGATACATCACATTCTGAAAAGCCACATTTTCATGGGACTTGGAAGGTTAGGGTTAGGGTTAAAGGGAAGAGGAAAGTGACAGTGGGTTATATAGGTAGAGTAGGTGAACCACATGCAGTCAGCACATTGTTCCTTATCTGCAGGCTCTTTCCTACTCACCTCCTTGCCTCTCTCAGTTCTGCTGACATGGTCGAAGTCACACACAGCAAGTGCGACTAGGTAAGTTGGCATGCGGGGTGTGGTATGGAAGGTAGAGACCTTCCATCTGCTTCCATTCACATCCATTCTTTCAGACTGACCTGGAGGAATATTTTAGTCCAAACCACTGTAAACCTAGATAATATGCAACCTAGAAACAATTTGTCAAGACAGTTGTCAACCAGCCACTCCTTCCTAGGTATTCCCTGTAGTCTAGGACATCAGGTTTGTCTATCTAAGCCATCAACACTACATCAGGTTACTGTGAACCTTTGTCATCCCAGGATCTAAACACAAAGTTAACAATGAGGGGATAAAAATGTTAATTACCCTGAAATATACACTATAACTCAAAAATATGCAAAATTATCATGTTGTTCAAAAGTATTTATGTGTGTTTATGTTGAGTTTCTGTATGTGTGTATATATGTTTACAGAGGTTAGCCCTGAACATCTTGTTCAATTGTTCTCCATCTTGTCTTTTGAGACAGGCACTCTAAACCTGGAGCTCCCCAATTCAGCTAGACTGACTGGCCAGCAAGACCCCAGGGAAGCCCCTGCTCCTGCCTCCCCAGCACTGAGATTACAGTTGTACTCCACCATGCCCAGCTTTTTACAAGGGTCCTGGAGATCAAACTCAGATCCTCCTGCTTGTATGGCAAGCATTACTGACCAAGTCACTCCCCCATTCCCCAGGACTATTTTAAAATATTTTCTATTATAATGATGACTACTATTACCTACTGTATGCATTTATCAAATCATTACACTTTATCCCATAAAGCTATACAATTGTTATAATGATTTTTAAATAAATAAAAATTACATTTGAAGGACCCAATGATGGCATCTTAGGCCTCAGTCAGCATCCTGAGTGATGAGAGCTTAACAAAACGTGTGTCAAACCCATGAGCACTGTATGTTTTCTACCCAGTTGATACCCTTTCTTTCCACCTACTTCTATTTTCTAGTTTAGCACACTTCTCACAGCATTGAATCTAGAGCTGTCTGAGTCCAAAGTGAATCAGAAACTACAATTCCACCTTTATCAGGTTTCAGAGGCATCTTCAGCAGCAGCAGCCTGGAGCATAAAGCTGAAATAGCAAACTCAAATGTTGGTGAGGGCCAGCCATCTGATATGTCATGGGGTACTATATAGTAACCAGGAAACTGAGGCAACTTATGGTGGCTCAGGCCCAGTCTTCAAGAGGTTACTTGTTCTCATTAAAGTCTTATAAATGCTTCAGGTCCAGTGTTAATTGGGCATTAAAGTTACCAAGGAAACAAAGATCCCGATTTTTACATTATATCTCTGGATCTCTAAAAGCTAGAAACCAATTCAGGCTAGATAAGAAAATCACTGAAGGTGAATAAAATGAATTTATGTATCTGCTGAGGTCAACTGCACCAGCCTGTTATCAGTAAGGGTCCATAGTTGAAGCACTAACTAACGGGCAGGTAGACTGTCAGCATGTAGAGACAGTATCATGTCCCCAGATCCCCATACAGAAAGAATAGGGATTTATCTTCTCTAAGTGTGAAGGGCCCATACTTGTCTCATGTGACTGCTCTCCATGGTTATGACAGATGAAGGCTACAAACACACTTCCTAGAGAAGCAGACATGAAAGCTAATATTTTCATGTTTATACAAGGGCAGGACACATTACTTACCTAGCTGTGGCATATTGGAAAGAGCCACATATGCAGGATGGTGAATAATTGTAATGTTAAAAGTTGCCTTCAGAGCTGGCTCATCAAAACAGGGGAAAACATTCCTGGCAAATGTTGGTTCCATTTGAGATGCAATCAAGGCTCTGAAATACATATGGAGGAATTTTTTCTCAGATCAATGGAAACACACACACACACACACACACACACACACACACACACACACACACACACACACACACACAGACCAATTCCTACACCATCTTAAGGTTCTTGTAAACCTAAAATAAAAATGATCTCTTTAACTTTCAGCCACAAAATAATTTTTGTCTCATTGCGTCATCAACCTTTTATAAGGAAAACAAGAACAAACATAAACATGGAATGTCAGTCTTTGGAAAACTAGGATGGCTTCTTTGAGGATTGTTTGTTGCTTTCATCTGTCACCAAGGGGTAAGTCAGTCTGAAGAATGTCTATGTTTTCTTGCTTTTTTTCCACTCTTTCTCAAATGTTCCCTCTTCTTTCTAATTGAAAACTTACAGTTCTATTTTAGAGCCCTCTGGGGGTAAACCTTATGGGCACACACCAACTGAACATTATGTCCTTCAGTTACAGATAGATTCGCCACATCCCCACTGTGGCTTCTCCTACTTCCATGGAAAAATACAAAGAATGACACACTGCCATGATGCACTGGAGAATTATAGCAGAAAGCTTAGGGACAAACCCATGATGTCAGGTTCATCCCCAGCACATCCTTCCTGAGTGTCTGAAGGGCACGGCTCTCAGCAAACAGCTTTCTCCTCGGTCAGGTTAATTCCATTTGCCAAGACTCAGTGACCCAGGAACCTGGCTGGAGAGGACAATGGTGAATGTGAACTTCCCTTCCAACTGAGGTCCCAGGCTTACCATCTGTCATATGCTGACTCTTGCTCCAGGCCCAATTCATAGATAAATAAAGCCAAACATCTTGAGAGGGCCTGTCCCACTCATTTTTTTTTCACCTCTGCAGGTCAATCTTCTACTGCAAAAGAGCCTCCTCACTTATTAAAAAAATTGCACAGCTCTAGGAGGGACATTAAAGTAGCTGAGACATTCAGAATCCTTTCATGAAAAATAAGAAAAACCCATCTCACAGACGGCCCATTAGAGGTGTCCAACTTTCAGTGACAAAGCTATAATTTGCAACCAGCCTGTTTTGTCCTTCTCATTTCCCTCATTTTATTATAGCCTTGCTTGTTCAGGCTGGAAGGAAGCCTGTGGTTCCACAGTAGCCAGTTTGGCTACAAGACCTGGTCATTCTGCTACTGACTGAGCCATTCTGGGAAAGTCACATATTGGAGCTTAAGCTTTAGTTCTCCATGTGGAAAATATGACACTCTACTTTGTGTTGCTACTTGAGTGCACTATTATTTCATGTATTATTAGTAGACAACTTAATAAGAAATCACCTGTGCCCTACATCTTCCAAGCTGACAAACCATACTCAATACTGATAATGTTTAGAAGAGAACCAAGAGTCACTAACTTATGGGTGAGTTGATCATTACTGACAAACTCAGCTCCAAAGTTGCCAGAATTACACCTGACCACAAACTGAACACAAATCATCTTTCTCTTCCCAATTACAAACTACCAGAAGCTGGGCAGAGGGCAGTTCTGTCTTCTCTTTTTCTTTTTTGCTTGTGTCATTTACAACAGAAGACATCTTCAGAGCAGTTGAATTAGCAACTGCTAATTATCTCCTCTTTGGGGCTGCTATAAAATATAGGCAGCTTTATTAATATATACAAGTGACCCTGAAGTACTTTTGCAGTGTGCATTACAGTCAAAATTTCCTGTTTTGGGACTTGGGTTGCTGTGTTTGAGAGGAGATACAATGAAATTGTATATTGTTTTTCAGTCACCTGAGTTCTCCATTCAGAGGAGCAGAATAAAAATAATTAACTTTAAGAAATATGCTTAAAGTCTCTAGGGACCTTTTTCTATAGAATGTGTGGATGGGGTGAAATGATCTGAATGGCCACTGAAATTTCTAACAGCATGATTCTGAGGGGAGGGTTGAAAAGAAAGCTAAACTTACCCTACAAAATGTAGACAAAGCCTATGAAGTGGCCCGTGCTTAAGTCCACCATAGGAGGAATCCCCTTAAGGGTTCACCCATGCTCCTTGGAAAGTCCATACCCTGAAACTGTAGAACAGTCTGAACATATGGTGATGTATTTGGACCAAAGAGCATACACTAACTTGAAAAGGCATACCTCATTATAGAGTGCATCTTCAGATTCCCAGAAAGCCAAATGCTGACCACAAACCACAAAAAGAGAAGCTTGACAGCATCTCCTCTGCCATGACTTCACAAAGTTTATGGCTCTCAAGGAGGCTTCAAGATGGGCAACAGGAAGAACAGCACCACTTTAGCAACCTAACACAGTAAATACTTCCAAGTCTGTGATTCAAGTCTTCCAAGAAGTGGAAGAAAAGGGCTTCTCCTGGGTTTTTTTGTTTCCCTGGAAACATCTGGAGAGAAGTCCCTACTACTCACAGCCCTTTTGGCTCTTCATCTTAGCTACAAAGGCCAGAGGCCAGCAGCAGCCACATGACCTTATATGCCACATCTGGGAATCTCACAGTGGGTGTCTTTGCCTTCTCATTCTGCCAGCGGAGAGAAATGTGTCAAGCCTTTCCAAGCACAGGATGATCTACCATTCTGTCTTCCCTTCAAGTTTCATGGAAGCATACGATTGTGTCTGTTAAGTCTCTGTTTGCAGTGGTCAGCTGTTGAAGGAATTGCTGTAGGGGAATTTGCTTCCTAGACGTTCCGTACTGTAGAGTCTCTTTCCTCTTGCCTTGCTCTAGAATCATGGCCTCACCACTCTCTGGAGCTAGAAGGGATTTTCATGGTCAAGATCCTCTTCATGCACTTGGAGAATAAGTCTATTTCCATTGAAAATATATCAATTGCATGCACCCAGTAAATCATTTCATTCCAAATTATTTTATAAACTCCATATGTCTGCTAAATAAGTGCTAAATAACAGAGCTGGTCAGAGATTAAAATTCTTAAGAGTTATGATACTCCACTCCTTAAATATTTTCATATAACACACACCCAGAAATCAAAACGTCTAGTAGAGCCAGATGTTCAACCACTGGACTGTGGTTCAAGGGTTGTCCCATGAATCATGTTTGTTTATTACTTGTGTAAGAGGATCTGGAGACTATAGTTTTTAACCAGGCAACAAAATACAATAGTTGCAAAAATAGATGCCAAATTAAGTTAGGAAGCTCTTCAAAGCAAATGGCCTTGAGAGTCAGAAGGTTCCTCTTTGGACAGCTCAGACATAAGAGAGTACAGGAGAGCCAGGGAGTGAAGAGGAGGCAGAAAAGAGAAGTCTTAGCAGGCAGTGGGTGGTTTTTAATCAACACTCAAATGCTGTCCTAGGAGTTGGAAGGAGGCACCAAGTTCTACCCTTGGGCTAATGGAGAGGAGAGACTCCTTAAAGCTGAACGAGGAAAGGCTGGTGCTTGTTCACCCTAAAAGCAACTGAAACAGACCAGAGCCTGGGCTCTGCTCCTACCCACTAAGAGGTGAATGAACAACTGGCTGCTTCAGAGACAGAATCGGAAGAAGGCTGCTGCCTCCAGATACATGGCAGTCCTAGGCAAGGGAAGGATGAATGCCCTCAGTAGAACTTTGGGGCCCAAGACACTGTGAACCATAGTGGGTACTTTTTTGGATCCTGTCCAATAGAGCTACCTGGAAGAGGATGAAGCAGTGTAAAGACACATTGCCCACTTGTTGGACTGAGGAAACCCGGTGAAGTGACTACACAAACAATAAGATAATCCCCCAGCTAAGCCAAGGGATGAATAGGAGAAAGACAAATGACAAGAAAGCTATGAAGTGTCAAAAGAGATATGTGTGCCAGGAAAATAAGGCATCTTCTAGGCCAGAGTGAGCAAATGACAAGATCCAGTAAAAAGTACATGCTATGTAACCTCTTCTTACGGTGCCTGTCTCACCAGACCCCTGTGATGTTGGAACAGCAGCTATTAAGATGGACAAGGAGGAATGGAAGCATAAAATCAAGAGATGGATAATTGTTCCTGCCCTACCGCAGATGTCCACCACAAATCAGGTCCTGGAGCTGGGAGGAAGGATGCAGGGGGAGAGGGCAGCATCAACAGCAAATACATTTACTGTAAGGCTTTCTTGTTTTTGTCTCTGACTATATTTATTACTTAGTGATTGTCAATCATCTGTTGCTTGGAGCCAGAGGGGTGGGGGATACCAAAAGAATATGGTCCACAGAATCAGCTAGTCTGGGCTCATAGGGACTCACAGAGACTAACGCCATAGTCAGGGAGCTAGGTCTTCTGCATATGTTATGGTTGTGTAGCTTGGTGTTCTTGTGAGGCTCCTGACAGTGGGAGTGGAGGTGTCTCTGACTCTCTGCCTACTCTTGGGACCCTTTTCCTACTACTGGGCTGCCTCATGCAACATTGACATGAGGGCTTGTGCCTAGTCAATCAACGCCATGTTGGTTGATGTCCCTGGAAGGACTTCCCTTTTCTGAAGGGAAACGGAGAGTGAGTGGATCTGGTGGAGAGGGGAGGTGAAGTGGTGGGGAATGGGAGAAGTGGCAGGCGGTGGGGTGGAAACTGCAGTCAGGATGTAATATATGAGAAGAGAATAAATTACTTTAAAAAGAAACACAGAACACATGAGCTTCACAAGGGGAAAAGTTAGAAATGTAACTCCATACATTAAACTATAAAGAACAGTGGAGATATGCTAACCACATTTGTTTTCAAAAGCTGCAGGATGGCTGGCAAAACTGCCTCCCAGAAAAACCATTAGTCACACAAAATATGAGTTCAACACTTATCCCAGCTATGAAATTACCTTCTTCCTCCTTCTACATCAACATCATGTGCCTGGTACTGCAGTTCACTGACTTTGTTTTGAGACATGCACATTCTTTCCCAGTATTGCTCAATTTTCTATTCTGAGAGTGCCTCATACTCACAGCACTGTGTAAGATTTCTTAGCGTAAAAAGCAACTTCAGGGAAGTCTTTTGAAACCCTGTTCACCCTGCCTGATTTTGATCATGTTACTGTCTCCTTTATTTGATGGC